AAAAAAAAAAAAAAAAAAAAAAAAGAGGGGGGGTGTGGATTGCAAGGTTGGGGTGAGGGGGAGGGGGCACACTATAGGGTCATCCCGTTGGGCAGTGGGATCTTGAATCCGCTCTCCAGAAGCGCCAGGCAGACGCCCAGGCCGGCAAGGCCAGCAAGAAGCACCCCCGCCAGGGCTTTGAGGAAGGAAGTCCTGCTCCGGGTGAAGGTGCCAGGGCCCAGGATGCTGAGCAGGGCGGTGCTCACAGTCAGCGTGTACAGGATGGAGACGCCCGTGTTGAGGGCCACAATCTTCCCGAATTTGGCAAAGGGTGCGATGATGCAGAAGAAGAGTGGGACTGTGGCGATCACGGTGGTGACGGCACTGGAGACGATGGCCACACCCACATGCCGCACAGCTTCCATCGTCCTCCACTGGCGGCAGGCAGTGGGGTCCTGGGGATCAGGGCAGTGAGGTTAGCAGGCAGCCCTTGGGCACAGGAGGTTGTGCCCATGCCTGAGCGGGAGCTTCTAGCTGCCAAGGTGGCTGCAGTTCTGCCAGCCAATGGCACAGACCCGGTGGGAGCTGCACCAGCATCAGTCACACTGAGTGGGGGCATGCAATAGGGCATCCGTCATACCGCCCCAGTACAGGCAGGGCCTAAGAAGCAGCATTTGGATTCAGCTACACCAGCTCCTCCACCCCAGGGGCAGAGTGCTGGGAGCTCCCCTACTCTAGCCTCCTGGCTGGGGCAGGCCCTGGCTCTCCCTGCCCCTTGCAGGAGGCATAGGGAGGAAGGGTACTCTGAACCCTGCCATGGCCCCACACCCCCTCCGGCAAGTAAAAGGGAACTCACCTCAGCCTGGTGGAGTGGCAGGCTCTCTCCTGCCAGCAGGTAGCCCTCCACCAGGTGCACACAGTAATCCACTGAGGAGCCCACAAGGATGGAGAGGGAAATGGCCTCAACTGCACCCATCTCCCAGCCGGACCAGTACATGATGGTCACCACCAGGCAGACCACCCCTGCACAGAGAAGCCAGAGAGGAACATCAAGCAAACTCCAGACTCTCACTGAGGACCAGCCCCAGCCAGTGCAGCTCCACTGAGCTCAACAGGGGATGCAGGGAACTGTCTATGTAGTATGCTTACAGGCTGCCCTGACCTATCTGAGTCATACCTTCTCCTCCCCATGTGGGGTGGAAAGGGGCAGAGCCTCTCTACACCAGGGTAGGGGACGTGGCCTGCACTCCCAGCTCATTAAGCATCTGTGTGCTGTGCTGATGGGGGACCAGGAGCCTAGATTTGATAGAAGGCTGGGGAGAAAGAGAGCCAGACAGACTGCTAGGAATGAGCATGCTGGAAAGCCAAAAGAACGCTTGGCAAAGAGCACAGGGGGTGTGTGTGTGCTCGCACATGTACTCACATCCCTCCCCACAACATGAAAGAGGCTTCCTTGGTTTGCTTGTCGGAGTTCTGCACACCGTGTGGGCATGCACAAGTATGTGTGTGTGTGTATTCCTATACCTGCCACATGGAAAAGGCTCCTGTGGTTTGCTTGCTGGTGCATGCGCACACACGTATTCACCTACCCATTCTCTTACTGGCATTCTGTGCAGTGTCTGACCCCAGCACTTTTTCCTGCCTAGGCAGGGGGGTCGGGCTGTTGAGGTCCCTTCCGACCCTACCAACTATGAATCCGTATGTGTGTATGAGCATTCACCTACCCACTTTCTCAGTTTGCTCGCTAGCATTGTATGCAGTGTGTATATCCACGTGCGTATGTGCATCCACGCCTGTGTGCATACATGTGTGCATGTATTCACCTACCCGCTCCCTCGGTTTGCTCGCTGATATTCTGCACAGTGCGCACGCTTCCCTTTCAGGCAATGAGCACTGTTTATCTGTCAGCCATGAGTGGGAGACTAAGTGGTTTTAAAATGATAGATTTGATTTTTATACTGAGAAGTTTAGCAACATGCTTAGTCCGTAATATTGTCAAAGCCCAGCCAGGGACAGGGAGCCTATTTACAAATTTGTTTAAAACACTAACAAACCCGCTAACACATGCAGCTTTACCCAGGCCCCCCCACAGCTTGGAAACAGCAGAGGTGGCGCTGTGCTTTGGAATGGAGAGCGATTGTTATTTGAAGCATGTGGGACTTAATCACATTATTATACATAAGAGGCAGGGATGGCGTTTGTGTAGCTCAAACCCTTATTTAAACAAATAGAAGGGATTATGGAGATGAAATGCTCGAGAAATTAGGCACAAGAGTCTTCTATTGCAATGCAGCCCTTTGGCACGCTCAGGGCAAGTGGTTCCTCCCCCTCATGCCTGGGTCAGACAGGAGTGAAGGGAGAGAAAAATTAAGCCCAGAGAAGTGACCTGGGTGGAAATCAGGAGTAGGCAGAGCTGTATCAAAGCAGAATGGAGCCCTGGTGCTGGCTCCTGCAGGAGATGTTCAGTGCAACCTGCTGGGGGCATGCTCTTACCTAGGATGCTCAGCAGCACGGGCAGCAGGAGGAGGATGTGGGTGGTGAAGACAGCAACCGCCGCCACACAGATGACCAGCGAGAGGATGAGGCCATACAGGGCACTCTGTACTCCTGCAAGACAACCCCACCCCCAGCATGGTCATGGCATCAGGTGGGAGCAAGACCTATCAGAGGTGGGCAGGGCGCAGCTGTGGGGTTCACCCTGTTGAAGCCCTGGCTGGCCAGGATACTGAGGGGCACTAGGTTAGGTAAAGGGGAAGATGCATGGGGCCAGGGATCAGGAGGTTTCCACCTGCATCACCGAGCTACTGTGTGATCTCAGGCAAGTTGCTCTCTGCCAGTGCCTTAGTTTCCCCTCCTGCCCTCGCTCTACTGTCTTGTTTACTTTGCAAGCTCTTTGGGGCAGAGACCTCCCCTCATTCAGTGTCTGACCAGGGGCAGACTGCTCTTGGCCAGGCATGGGGGTGCAAGCCCAAGGCAACATGGGGTGCAGGTGTCAGGAAAAAGCTCAGGTGAGTAGAGGCAGGGCATGGTGCAGGGGGGGAAGGAGGTGGAGGCCCCCTGCCTATGATCTCCATGAAGATTTGCTTCCAGTGCTCGCAGGTCTGGAAGCCGCGGCGCAGGGCAGATTCTTCAGGCAGGAGCTGGAGCTGCTGCTGCAGGAACGTCTCCCACTTGAGGTAGTCTGAGTAGGTCTGGAAGGATGACTTGCCCTTGTAAGTTGTCTGTGAGGAAGAGAGTGGGTCATTTCTGGGTTGGCAGAGCAGCGATGCCCCATGCTCCTCCAGGCTAGGGGGCTACCTCATTCTAAGTCCCAGCAGGAGGAGCGGTCGTATCGATCTGCACCTTCCCCTCTGCCTTGTCCCCCTCCTTGGGGCTTTGTCTCAGTGATAGGGGTGACTGTGTCCCCACCCAGCTCAGAGCCAGGACTCTTTCCAGGTGCCCCTGCACAGCCCAGGCTGCCAAAGGGATCCACTCCCTTGTGGGGACAGCATGGTCTCTACCCGAACTGCCAGGGCCAGCTTTCTGTTGCCAGCTGGCAGGTGGGGCAGGCCAGGAGCCCGGGGTGGCGCCCTCACCGATTCAAAGGCCATGGAGATCCACTGCACCTTGCCATCCTTCACCCCCACCGCCCCGTGGGAGAGCTGCCCAGGCAGCAGGTTCGGCTCAGGGATGTTCTTGCACTCAGGGTGCAACATCTGCAGAAAGGAGGAGATGCTGTAACCTGAAGAGGAAGAGAGAGCAAGGGGTAGGGAAGGGGCAGGGACACAAGAGCAGGGGGGACAGAAGAGAGAGTTGCAGTTCTTGCTTAAGAACAGCTGCTTCTCTTTGCAGTCTCTCTGCCCACCACAGGGGACTCAATGTACCGCACCATGGAGCCCCTCACTCCCTAGGGCCCAGCGCTCTCAGCTCCCACTAGCTCAGGGAGGAGCAGATGCCAGGCATTCAGGACAGGGCCCCAAACAGTCCCTGAACAAGCATGAGGCCATATTAGACGGTGAAGCTGCCAAGCCAGGGGACAGTGCCAAGACCCAGCACAGGGGGGACCCATGGGCAAGCAGGAGCAGCAGCACAGTTGAGAACACAGGATGGATAGGGCAGGGAGCTGGCTCCCAGCCGGCAGCAACCACAGCCTTGGCCTCCTCTTCTGAAACCATCCCAGGATACCCAGACAGGAGTCCACTTCCAGCTGGCTCCACCCTGCTGCTGTACCTGTGCCTGCCAAAGGGGCACGGCTGCTCCCCTGGAGTGGGGGGGATCATCAACTTAGTATCAGCCACCCCCTGCCTGAGTGACAGGCCTGGTCCTCTCCTACTAATGCCAGGGCAAGCCGGGAGGGGCTCCGCCACCATTAGCAAAGCTGCTCTGATGCTCATGGGGAAGGCTGAGAGCGCTGCCAGCCCTGTGTTCGGTGAAGGAGGAGAGGGCTGAGATGCCCTGGGAGAGAGGAAGCTGGGAGATACCTGGGCTGCTGTTCCCATCTGCAGCCTTGCTGGGCAAAGCGACAGGTTGGTAAAACCCTGCTGTGAGCAGGGTGGGAGCTTGGCTGCACAAAGCACCTCCCTGGTGCCCCCAGGCCAAGCAAACAGAGCTATGGGGTGAACAGTCTGCAGGGCAGGTGCAGGGGACAGGTTTCAGGGGAAGTCTGTACCCAGACGGGGGGGGCAGGAGCACATAGGTGTTCTGTGACTCTCCGAGCCAGCCCTCAGCACAGACTTGGCCTTTCCCTGAAAGCCCATGAATTCCCGGGGTGGGAACAGGTAGTCTCTGCCCTACATACCCGAGGGCAGGCACTGGGCCCCTCCAGGCTTCACCAGTTCAGCGTTGGCAGCGATGGCCTTGCAGATGCGGCACAGGCTGCCAATCTCTTTGAAGAGGTCGAAGCTGTCATCGTAGATGACGCTGCCCTTTCACAAGGAGACACAACAGCGAGAGCAGGACACATGAGGCACATGTCCCATCACTGGCAATGTGACCAACCACACAACCGTGAGCTGAGCGAGGAGTGGCCCCAATGCTGGGCACTGCCTGAGCCTCCCAGCTCCACACACCGCTATCCTGACTGGGAACAAGATGCTGTGGCACTAACAGCTTGGCGGGAGTGCTCCCTACCCTCACAACACTGCCAGGTCATAGCAGTGTCCAAACCCCAGCCCAGCCACCTAAACTGGAGGCCTCTGTGCCCCAGGGACTCTCCCACCCACAGGGCTCAAGGCCTGTCCACACACAAGCCTCACCCCAATTGGTCTGCCCTGGTTCAGGTCCACTAGTACAGCCCTTAGTGTGAGCACAGCTCTGCCAACATAAAGGACTGTAGGGCAATGGAGCTTATCCCTGTAAGGGAAAAGCCAGATGTGAGGTACTGCACAGCCTACAGACTGGCCTAACTGGCCAGGATTCAAACCCAAAAACCAGGCTAGCAAAAAGAGCTCAAACTGCCTGCTGGGCACCAAGGCAGAATGCACCAAAGTGCCTTGCCCCTTTGGCAGGCACAGGCCCTTTGGCCCCAAGTGCCCTGGCTGCATCCCACTCGGCTCTGGGAAGAAAGATGGGTGCTCTGCCTGGCCCATCCTTGAGGTGCCAGCAGCTCTGGGGCATCTCTCCAGTGACAGTGATTAGCAGAGGTGCACTGGGGAAGTGGCAGTCACATGTCAGGCTATCTGGCTTAGGAACTAAGCTGCCCTGGGGCAAGTCACCCTCAGCAGGCTCTCCCTCGCAAGGCTGATCCATATTTATTTATGCTAATACCTCGCAGCAGGGGAGGCAATAATTACAGAGCGAGGGCTGTGGAACTTGCAGCTAGGTTGATTTGCCTCTAAACCCCATGGAGAGGCTGCCTGGTCTCACAGTTATTAGCTCTGGGGCTCGGATAGCATTGGAGCACTTGGAGCAAGGAGCTCTGATTTCTGTCGGGCAGGCACAGTAAGATGTGGGTGGGCTCTCCTCCGAGCCTTATCCCAGCGTTCCTGCCTCCGCTATTCTCTCGGGGCAGCAGTGGGGAGAGCTGGCTGGGCTTTGTGCTTGTGACTCCCGGGAAAGTGCGTGTACCATGTCTCCAATGACGTGGTTATCCGGGCGCCGGGTGCGGTTCACCCCTTGGATGCCAAACACCACGAACACCATGGCTCCCGTGTCCACCAGAGGCCGCACGGCCGGCTTCCCACATCCTGCGTTCATGCAAGGGTTAAACCCCGATGTGGTAGAGGGCTTCACCTTAGGGGCTGCTGTCAGAGCAAGAAGGGGGGAGGTTAAACACACAGGCGTGCAAGGAAGGAGGCCACGGTAGACAGGCCAGCCCTCCTTGAGCAGCTGTAGCTAGACAGATCCAGCCATAGGTGATAAATATATGGGGGCCTGAAAGCCCTGGCCCCCTTCAGGAAGAGGCCCTGAAATGGGAACATCAAATCCCAGTCCCGCTGGTGCTGGGTAGGCAGGGGGTACCTTGCCATGGTGGCATGGCTGCTGTGGGGCTCCTAGGAAGATGGCAGGAGGGTGGTGAGCCCCAAGCCTGCAGCAGATAGCCAGCATCTGCCCCCACTCGGCTCTACTCTGGCCATCCACTGTGGAGGGGGCATCATCATAGCCTCCCCCCACCGCCCCGGCAAAAATTAAAGTTAGTGCCTATGGACCCCGCCCTTGGCCCTACACTTCCACCTCACTTACCTTTCTCACTGGGCACATAGAGGATACCCTTGGTAGGACCGTCTGGGCTGGAGCTGAGCAAACAGCCAGGGGGTGCCACACACACTCTGCCGTGGTACGGGGGCTTGCGTGACTGGGCGAAGTACAGCTTCCTGTATAGCAAACAAAGCCCATTATGGGATATTTTGAGCAGGTGGAAAGGCAGGGCCCCCACACCACCTACTAGCAGCTGGGTCAAGGTCTGACAGTGCAAGACAGCACTGAGGCTTTGCAACAGGGAATGTGCCAGGACAAGGAGAGGCAGGGAAAGAACAGGGCAGATGGTCTGGGCAGAAGGGAGGGTGAGAGTCAAGGAGCTGGAGGGAATGACTGGTTTATCATGCAGTACCTCCATCACACCCCCACCTCTGCCTGGAAGGTGCTTGCTACATCCGTAGTCCTACCAGTCTGGACTGCACTTTCCATCTGGGATGCCCAGGACCTGTCCTGGGTAGGGGAGGGGCATTGCAACACACCCAGGCTTTGCAGATGGTGCTGTTCTGCTCATCATGGCCTGGTGGAACATGGATCTCCCTGCTCATGGCTGGTGGAAAATCTCTAGCAGACTGGAGCAGTGGAGAGGCTGCAAGGCCTCAAGCATCTGATTCTGCCTAGCACAGGGCAGCAGTGCATTGTAGCCTTCTCCGAGGCCCAGAGAGGTGACACGGCTTAGGAAAGGAAAGGAACCCAGGCGTCCCGTCTCCCCACCCTTGCACTAGCCACTGCTGTGCCCCTCCCCAGCTCCATGCCCCCACCCCCCGGCAGTTACCGTGTGTGTTGCTGCTCTTTGGCCGCCACGTAGAAACTGAAGTCAAACTTCCAGCCTCTCTTGGTGTCACAGGACAAGGTGGTCATCATCCACTTCCTGGGGCTCTTCTGCGTAAGCAGCCCTACTGTGGACACACAAGCGGTCAGCTTCCTGGTGAAGTTACCGAAAGGCGCTCTATACACCTAAGCAATGGATTAATGAAAACAGACACTTAACTCCACAGGGCCGCAGCTGAGCATGCCTTAGTATCACACCCTCCCCTGGGCCCTGGCCTGGCCCAGTCCCAGAGTGGGCCTGGATGGGATGGGTCAGACCATTGGCATTATGACCCCATCCCTGCACCCTGCTTGCTCCCCAGCACATGGGGAGCAGAGTTATAGTCAGTGCCCGACTTCCAGCAGAGTTGAGTGGTTTGGTTTGGCCACGCATCTGCTGTCCAGTGTATGCAGACAGAGAGCAAAGGTTCGGCTCAAATGGCGTGGGAGCTTCTGCGGGGTTGGCTCAGCAGAGGAAGCCTGGCTTCCCATAGCCTGCTTTGATCTTCCTTGGGACTGAGCTACCCCCAGCTCCCACAGAAGTGTCCGCGGTGGAATGATGTCTCAAGACCAGGCACAAAGTGTTCCGATAGGTGGCTACCAGGGACGGCAGAAGTAGTACTGGTGCCAGCTGAACTGCCTACAGGGCGAGCACTGCCCTGTGACCCCCACAGGCCCCTGCACAGTGGGGGTGAGACACGTGAGCTGGTCACCTGGGGTGGGCCGTGCTCCACCTTCCCTAAACACACTCACCTGGAATGAGGGCACCTCGCCATCTCCCGGGGACACCAACTGCCAGGGCGCAGGAACGCTGGCGTTGAGTGAGAACCTGTAGATGGCTGGCCTGCCCTTGCTCTTGGACTTGGAGATGTATACAGTCCCCTGGAGATCTAGAGGGCACAGCACAATTGCGCGGAGGGCAGTCATCCACAAAGGTGCAAACACAGAGGCTTCCCTGACATTCTTCCCTCCCCAGCATGACCCTCCTGACAGCAAGGCCCTTCCCAAAGGGCTTTCAGAACAAGAGGCTGGTGTAACTCTCATAACTCCACAGACTTCCATGGGTGATGCTGATTTATGCTCAGTTGGGAGCTGGCCCCTTAACCAGCCCATCCTCAAAAGCACCCCCCCAAGTAGCTGGTGGGACTATCAAGCCCTAAGCCATGGGAGCAAGAAACAAGGCCCAGAGGCTCCTAGTCCTAGCCGTGTGCTCAGGCTACTGGACCCTGCTGCCACTCTGCTAAGCAGTTCCTCCCAAAGGCCTCTCTGCTGCAAGTCTTGGTCCCTGTGGGGGCTGGGGAGCAGAAGCAGTGGGCACACTGACTGCTTAGAGGTCATCCGAGGGCAGGATGTTCCCAGGAGCTCCTCACCCACTGAACCATACAACATTCGTCTGGGGCTTGGTGGGGGTGTCTGCAGCTCTCTCTCATCTGCCAAGAGTGCACTCAGCTGCCATCTTTACTAGGGGGGACCTGGGGCACCTCAGAGCACACACCCTGCCTAAAGCCAGAGAGAGTACCAGCAGGTGTTTGAGCCTTTGTGAACTTACCTGGCTGTGCAGCCTCACCCGTGCCCCCTCTGCTCCCCCAGGGAAGCCCCGAGCCCCGCTTCTTCTTCTCCAAGGAGGTCCGGATGTTGTTCTGCAAGCTATGGGGCTTTTCCTGAAACAAACCTGTCCCACAAGGTTAGTCAGGGGGGAAAGGACCAGGGGCCTAGTCAGGGACCAGCCACACCAGTGCACCCTGTAGAGGCAGGGAACACACAGAGGACCCTGCCAGCCTGCACTGGTATCACACGGACATTGCCTTGACTGGCCCTGGGCAACATGCTGAGGAGGGGGGCTTGGAGGAGGGGAAGACACCAGTTGTCAAGGTTGAACAGCACCATGGGCAGAAACAAAGGAAAAGTTTTGCTTAATACGTATCTCAGTCCCCAGCCCAGGTCACACCATGAGGAGCCCTCACCTGAGCAAGTGACGCAGGAGATGCCCTCGGCGCTCAGGTTGTACTTGAGGTCCAGCAACACCTGGATGTTGGTGTCGGGCCGGAACAGGATGGGAGCGCGGCTAGCGGGGCGGAGGCGGCTAGCGAAGAATATGGACAGGATGAGGACTAGGACAAAGAGCCCTGCAATGAGAGGCACAGCCAGCGTGTGGGACTCAGCATGACTCTCACACTCCCGGCATCTCCGGGGGTTTTCCAGAGATGTGCGCCCAGGGCAGTGGGAGAGGGGGCAAGGCAGGCCCCTCAGGAAACCTCCAAGCATAGAGAATCTGGGTCCCCAGCTGCCCAGGGACAGAGTGCTGCCCAGAAGCCACTTTACTAACCACACGGGAGCAATGCAGCTGTGTCTGCCAAACCCCAGAGGGGAGCTCCGTGACACCTGGGGAAGGCTGGCAGGGTGAGACACTGTCTGAGCAAGGAGTGCATGGCTGGTGTTGCCAGCACTTGTGTGCAGAGGGGCCAGGGTGTGAAGTGCCCTGAGGAAGGGCATCTCCTGCCCATCTTACCCATGATCACCCATCGGCTCTTCACAGCAGACCACAGCACCCAGTGCTGAAGCAGCTCCTGCAGGTGGGCTATCAGGTGACCGCGGCTGCTCTTCTCAGTGGGACCCTGCAAGCTCTCTGGCAGCACCGACACCAAGGGCACATCTCCGATCTCTGGAGTCACTGTGGAGAGAGGCCAGAGGCATCACCTGAGAGCCCTGAACCCGGGGCTGCAGGTTCAGTCGGGCAGTGATATCTGGAGGTTTTGAATCCCAAGCCCTTTGCAAAAAAACACTCTTTGCACCAACTAGAGCTGGGAGGAAGAGCTTGTGGTTAAGGCACTGGCTTGAGGTTTCTTATCCAGCTGGCCACTTCCTAGCTCCCCTGGAGGCCACTTAACAGCCCAATCCAACATGAACTCAAGTCACATGTGGGGCAACTGAGGCACAGGGGGGCATTGCGACTTGTGCAAGGCCTCCACAAACCAGCAGCACTCCTGGGAGAGATGTCAGGACAGCCACTTGCAGACATTCCCTGTCCTGAGAGGGACCCCAAGCACCTACACGAGTCCTCCTCCACGTTGAGCAGCGGGATGTCATCATCGAGGTACGGGAGGGTGCCCCGGGCTGGCCCAGCTGCAGCCTCTGAGACGATGAACAGGTCATCAGCAGTGTGCAAGGAGCTCTTCTTCGTGCACCTCTGACTGCAGCTACAGCAGGGAGGGAATCACCCAGTGTAAGCGGCCCTGTACCCTGCAGCCAGCTGCCACCCAGACCTGGGCAGAGCATCAGCAGAGTGCTCCACCCACTCGGCCTGGAAGTCCACAGCCATAGCCACACGATCAATTCCATGGCTGCTGTGTGGGGTGCACAAGGCCAGGCTGACAGCGGATCACCAGGAGGTTGGACTGGGCATATGGGGCAGGCTGCGCCCAGGACCCCTGTGTGACAGCATTTCAGGTGTGTGCTGTTCTGCTAAGGAATTACACCTGGCCAAGTCCAGAGCCATGCTAATAGGAGGGAAGAGGAGAAATGCAAGGGCCCAAGCAGGTACAGATCTGCATCTCAAAAGCTAGGCTGCCTGCCTGCCTGCAGGGTCTGCATGCCCGCAGCTCAAGGACTGGATGCTGGGAGAGTTCCTCAAGGTGTACAAGTCACAGTGCCTCTGCCAGCCTGGGGGGCTCTCACCTGGCCTGACAGGAGCTCTCCAATGGAGACAAGTAGAGAGTCCAGATCCCAAGCGCAGCCGGCATGGTGAAGAGCACCGCCACCCAGCAGCAGGACACGATCAGTGACATGAAGAGCCCAAAGTCATGTACAGCTGGGATCTGCACAGAGAGACAATTGGGGCAGGAACATAGAGGGCTGAGAGCGGCCACGGCAATGGCCTCGCTGGAGGTATGTTCCTATGGCCCCTCTGCCTGGCTACCTCACAAAGACAGGGGTTGCGGTGGGAAGGCAGAGGGGGCAGACCATCCCACCGCCACAGCTTACCTGCGAGAAGATGTTGGCAGCATAGGCCGCAGCAGTGGTCAAGGAGGTGAAGAAGGTGGCCTTGCCCGCTGTCTGGACAGTGTGGATCATGCGGAGCCGCAGGTCCTTGAGGTGGGTAGCTTGGCGGTAGGTGTTTATGAAGACAAAGACATCATCCACACCTGGGAGGGGACAGAGATGCTCAAACAGGGCCACTCCCGGCAGGTGCGAGTCAGTACCACTCCCTGAAAGGCAGTGCAGCGAGGCAACCACCCCCAGAAAAGGCTCCAGCCCCCAAAGTGCAAGTGCAGCGGCTCTGGGAAGGGGAGGCCTTGTCCCACAGGCTGCCTGCCCCATCCCCCTTCTCCCTCTGCACTAGCTTTCCCCGCACTGGGTGAGATGACCTCCCAATGCAGGTGGGGCCTGGCCGCACTGGCAGCACTCTGAAAGGGAGCCTCTTACCGATGCCCACGATGACGAAGGCAGCCACGCCATTCAGAATGCCCAGGTACTGGATCCCAAAAACGACATGGTACAGGAACAGGGCCACCAGGCAGCTCAGCCCAATGCTGGCAATGCCAAAGAAGGATAGGAACACTGCAGGGGGGAGCAAGAGGGAGGAGACGCCAAGACTGAGCACCAGGGCGCACCTCCACAGTGCCCGAGTTGGTCTAGAGACTAGGGATCCCAGCTCTGGTCCTGGGATGAGGGTGGCTCCCAGAGTCAGAGGAAGGAGCTCCTGCCCCTCCTTTTTATTTTCATTTGTTCAGCTGGAAATGCCAGATCCTGATTTATGGAGGTACTGAGCACCCCCAGCTCTGATGGGCATCGAGGGGGAAAGCAGGTCTCAGCACCTCTGGAAATGGCACCTGTTTGGGAACCTAAAGTCAGAGCCTCGGGCTGCCAGCGGTGGTATCCATGTCCTTGATGTGGAAGTATGGGGCGGGGAACCAGCAATGGTACATGAAGCCTTCCACCCCCACCCAGTTAGCAAGGATCAAAGGGCACACGTGGGTTCATCACACAAGCCACGGACTTCCCTGCACCCATCAGGCCCAGCGGGAAGGGAGATGGAAGCACCCCTTACCTGAGCAAGAGGTGAGGATGTAGACCAACACTGCAATGCAGCTGCTGCTGATGAAGGCCAGCAGCATGTCATTGTTGAAAGTCTTCCTCACCTCATAGTCGAACAAATCTGTCCCACCATACAGCACCTGCACCTTGCTGGGTGGAGGAAGGGAGAGAAAGGAATAGCATGGAGGTGAATGGACAGTGAGGGCACCTACTGAATGCAGCTTCTCCTCCAAAAAGACAGAAGGGCACCAGTCTGGGCACTCGGCCACGTTCCCAGGTAGCAGGTGGGGCGCTGGAATGGCATGGGACTGGGAGGAGAAGCAGGTGAGGTCTGCGCAAGAAGAGGGAGTTTGAACAGCAAGAGCGGGTCTAATGCTGGTACAATTCCTCTGGTGCCCAGCAGCCTGCAGCATTGAGTTCTTGCCATCAGTAAATAGCTCCTGAAGCCCCCAAAGACAATTCCATCTGGAATCTTAATCATTGCTTATTATATTAAGCACAAAGGTAATAACCAGCGGATGCAGCCAGAGTGCCGGCCTAGTGAGAGCTGGGCAATTTACTGGCCTCTGCTGCTGGAAGCTGGCTCAGAGCGGAGGTAATCCGAGATAATTAAAGCCAGGAGCACAATAACCCAGCACCGCAGGAGCCTGCCCATAATCCAGTATTCGCAACAGCTCATCTGCTCCCCGGCTCCTGGTGCTGCTCCCCGTAATTGCAACCCCCCGCCCCCCTGTCCTCGGCTCCTGGCTGGGAGGACTCCACGGCTGCTTGCCATTCAGAGCTGACAAGGACTGGCTGCATTTCGCTTGGCTTTTGAAGATCAGAGTCTCCTCTGCCCAGGAGCGATTGAGATTCAGTAGAGCAGGGGATGGAGGAGTGGCAGCAGGTGCAGGCAGGTGGCAGGATGGAGTGCTCTCCTTCCAGCCATCCCATTCCCAGAGCTGCTGTCCGGGACGCAGCAATCGCACTCTCCCTGCGTAGGCTGGTAGTGAGGCTTGCCCAGTGAACGTGGGAACAGAGCCCCAGTCTCCCCAACCCAGCCACAGTGCAGCACTGTAGAGAAGGGAGCCCATGCAGCACGCTGGGCAACCCCACCCACTGCCCCATCGGCACCAACGCTCACAGGTGGAGTGAAATGGAGGAGGAGCAGACCCCACAACCTCCAGTGAGGACTGCTACACCACTTTTAAGAGACCAGCCTGGGTCAAACAGAGAGCTGATATAAATGGAGACAGTTCTGCTGGGATTGGACGGGTGGAAGGGAACTGGAGAGGAGCTTGATGAATCCCTTCCTGGCTTTGAGGCCAGGTGGGAGCAGACACACCTCGGGCCATGGCCTGTGCCTGCCCCAAATGAACCCACTGGCTGGGGCTCCTCTGCACACCCATGCTGGACCCCATTGTCTATCCCACTATAAACCACACTGGTGTGACCCTAAACCTGTGCTGTGGAGCTGCCTTCCACTTTATGCCCAGGAATGAGAGCAGGAGCTGCTCCTCCAGCCTGTGATGCTGTTGCCAGGCACATCTGCACTGCAGGAGGAGAGGGGCTTGTAGCTTGGGTCCACGGATCTGCACTAGCTTTAGCCTGGTCAGCTTTGGCACCACATACTGTAAAGCTGTGGCAGCAGAGCATCAGCACCAGCATGCCATGCAAGTACCACCCCAATGCCCGTGGCACGGGCTGACGTCTCTGCCAGCACGACTGCTGCAGGGTGTCCCCTGCACTGGCTAGCTGAAGCTGCAATCCAGCTCTGCCTGGCATCTCAACGTCTCAGGAACACAACCGTGGTGCAGGAGGAGTGTGCTAGCGAGGTGTGTAGGAAGCATGTGAACCACAAACACTGTGCAGGCTTCTTCTGCTTCCCCCAAAGCATCATGCTTTGGTTGCTGGCCAAGGCAGGAGACGCAGCCACACCAGACACTCGCCTGAGACCCACAGCCACATCCAGTACTCCTGATGCCCCCAAACACAGCTGGACACCTCCACTCAGCTTTACCCCTGCAGAAGCCCCCAAGCACCGTCATGCAGGGGAGGCGAATGAACTCCATGTACACCTGACGTGCTTCTTCAGCATCTCCTCAAACTCCCGCCTTCCCCAGGCCCCTAGGCACCTGCCTCACCTGGTGGACTGCTTGGCCAGCATGGCCACATAGGTGACCACAAAGCTCTGGAACTTGTGGCGCTGCTCCTCCCACCGGTCCTCCACCGAGTAGTAGTTGGGCAGTGGGGCCCCGAAGAGGATCTCACTCCGCAGGAGGGAGCTCTTCATGTTTTCTGCAGACAGCCCTTCGTCCACGTACCAGTAGAACTCAGGGTGGGTCATGGCCAGCTCCAGTGACCCTGTGGGAGGGACCAGCATGGACTTCGTTAGACACAGCTCAGCTGAAGGAGCATGACTACAGGAGGGGCCCAATACTGGTGAGGTCAAGAGCACCTGCTGGCTCAGGGGACCTCTTCCAGCCATCTACAGCTTCTAAGGGCTGCCCTGGATGGCGCTGCCTTGCAAGAGGTCAGGCAGGGCTATGGAAGCCTCATTGCCCTGACTCACGTGCCCTCTCCATGCAGCTCCTCGGCCCACCATGCTGCCATGCACAGTCAGCACAGAGCCATAGCTGCTCTGAGCACAGGGGCAGGCCGAATCAACCTGGACTACCAGAGCTGGCCACATCCTCCACCCTGTTACAGACAGGGGATCCGAGCAAAGTATCCTCAGTGCAGTAATCTGCTCGATTCCCACCCAATACCCTCCTCCTTTGTGTGTACCCACCACATCCCCAAGCTGGGCTCCAGCCCATCCTCCCAGCCTGGCACACCCAGGAAGCAAGGCTGGAGCTAAACGTGCCACGGGACAGAAGGCAGAAGCCACGTCTCTGCTGTTGCCCACCAGCTCTGCGGTGTGATGGGACTGAGGATACAACTGGGAAGAACGCGCTAGGTGGCATACTGGAGGGACTCCAAACAGCAGCACACACTGCACAAGCCTAAAACAATTGCTGAAACAAGGCCCTGCCCCAGCCCAAGCACAGAGGGGGCAGCCATTCCTGCAAAACAGGGTCCCATGAGGAAGAAACAGTTCCTCCCAGTGCACTGTGCAGAGCAGAGCTGGCAGCACAGAGGCCCAGGCTCTGTGACCCCCCCCCGCCCCAAACTTCAGGATGCAGGAGCCTGTAAGGACAGAGCACGGCCCCTGGGCCTGCTTTGGAGCTGGGAACAGAGGGAGTTAGCAGCTTGCCTACTCCCTGCTTGGCTCCCATTGATTTTCAGCTGCAGCATGTGCCTGGCAGACACAAAAAAGCTCCTTCCCACAGTCATGTCCCTCCCACGGCACAGCTGTGAGTCACTTCCAGCTCCACAGCCACCTCCACCCCCCACCACAGCACCAGGGAAGAGGGATCTGCTAAAAGCAGCACATTCTGGGGATGACTTGCAGAGCAACCCCTCAGCCATGGCCACCCCGTGCTATTAGTCCCACTGGCACTAGGAGCCCCTCCATGCTACCCTGGCAGTGGACACAGTCAATGAGTTATGGGGGAAAAGGCCACTGCCTGAACTGGGATGAGGCAGGTGCTCAGCTGCAGAAAGGGCCGCTCCTCCATCACGCAGCACCATGCATCATCCTGAGCCCCAGGCAGAAAACAGCACATGCACCTTTTCTGTGCTGGCGTGAGTGATCCTAAGAGGTGCCAAGCCATGGAGGACCAACCCAAGAGGCTCCTGGTCTATTTGTGAAGGGTCCAGCCAGGCTACCAACTCAGCAGCAGGATGGCTAGCACAAGGCCCTGAACCACTGCAACAGGCCCAAGAGGATGCCAAGGCAAGCACTGGCCTGTTTCCACCATCAGAGCCCCCAGCCTTGCATTGCTACCTGGCCAGGGCACAGTCCCGAGGGGAGCAGCCAAAAGGAACAGGACAGAAGGCAGAGGGGAGGCTGTGGGCCCTCACAGCCAACCCAGGAAACCCTTGCCTAGCGTATGTGGTGATGACTGTTCCTGGTTGTGCTCCAGCAGGGCCTGCAGCCTGCTGGATGCTGCTCAAACACACGCTGGATGCGACCATCGTAGAACCCTGGCAAGCAGGGGATCGGCGTGTGCAGCCCCTGCCCCAATACCCCAACTACTCCTGGCAGGTCCTGGCCCAACCTGCTCTTAAAAACCAGCTATGGGGATCCCTCCACCCTGGGCAGTCAATCCATTCCAGGGCTCTGCCAGCCTCATAGTTAGAAAGGGTCTCCTGTTTCCAAGCTACCCCTCCCCTGCGCCAATCTAAGCCCTTTAGGCCTGTACAACTCAGAGCAGAGCTGGGGCAAAGCTCACAGCCTTCCTCTCTGCAATAGCCTCACATAGCTGGAGATGTTTCCCCTCCCTGCTCAGCGCCCTTCCCTCTAACAGCACAGCATCACCTGGGGCCCTTGGCCCCATCACCCAGGCTGCACGCAGCTCACCTTGGATGTCAGCCAGGTCCTGCCCCATGCCGTCGTAGTAGATCTTGCCGCCCTTTTCCGTGGGGAAGAAGTACGTCATGAGGGAGCTGGGTGGGGAGCAGTAGGAGTAAGAGCCCAGAGGCAGGTCCTTCAGGACCTCATGGGGCTTCCAGCAGAACTCCCGAAACCGGGGGTGGTCCATGATCTTGCGCTCAATCTCATGGATGGTGACCAGGCGCTCAGTGGTGAAAATGTTGTTTTCAGCATCCCCCCGGGCCAGAAAGATGAGCTCAATGCGCCAGTGTGCATGTGTTTGTGTGTTGGCACTGACATAAGCACTGGAGTAGTCCCAGCGCGAGGCACCCCGGGGCACGCGGGAGCTTTGGTTGGCTGGGCTGTGGTGGGTGGTGGGCCTAGTCCTGCCTCTGGCTGCAGGCGGTGTGGCACTGCGCTTCAGCCGGGTGGCCCCCCCAAGGTGGGAGGCATTGAGGTGCAGCTGCTGAAGTTGCTCGAAGAGGAGCCGCTGCAGGGTCTCCGAGGTGAAGTCAGCCAGGTCCCGGCGGCTGCGGCCCCACGAGCCGAACTGGGACTTGAGGGCCAGGGCGAGGGCATCAAAGCGCTGAGAGGACTCGTGGTTGCGGATCTCAAAGGCATTGTAGGAGATGTCAATGTCCAGTGCCGGATAGTGCAGAAACATGGCCGTGGCCAGGGCAGCCGGGATGGCACAGCCCAAGAAAAGGATAAAGCCGGCACAGTAGGGGTTGGTGAACATCCAGCCAACTGTGTTCCAGAAGCCGGATACTGGCAGCATCGTAGGCAGCAGCTTGGGACTCCACTGACACTTCCCGCATAGCTGGGGGCCCACACTCCTCTTCGGAGGGTTGAAGGCAGCCTCCTCCTCCTCCTCCTCCAGCCAAGCATCCTGCAACAAGGGGTCGTCCTCAGCATCCATGGCCAATGCCTGTGCCAAAGCAAGATGGAGACAGGGTTAACAAGCCATCCCAATCTGCACATCTGCTTGCCCTCCTGAGAGCCCTGATCCTGTCCAGCTGCAAGGAGATCACAGCCACCAACTGCACTGACACCAGCCCCCAGAGCCAGGTGACGAATGCATCAGAAACAGGATGCCAAAGCAGGCCACCATGGCCATGCTGTTCTGTGTCCAGCACTCACTCCTCCCTAAGGACAGGGGTCATGGAGCCTGAAGGGGACATGCTACCATGTGCATACATAGAGCCGCAGTAGTGGCGCTGCTGCAGTTCCCTGACCCTTCCCCAGTGCCCAGAGACAGCTTGTGCTGTGGGATGAAGAATGGACAGGACCCTTTGCTCCTCTCGGCAGTGATGGAAGCAGACTCTCCTTGTAGTATTTATTGCTTTGTTCCTCAGGAGAGCACGCAAGCCCACGCATGTACATGCACCGTGCACAGCCTGCTGTCATGGCCCAGGTTGCCCAAGCCACCCAGCAAGGGGAAGGGGCAAAGGGTGGGAGCCTCACAGCCTGGCTGTGTCTGTGCAGCACAGGAAATGTGCCTCTAATATCCAGGACAGCTGCAGGCACAGGACCCCAAAGATAAAGGCCCCAGAGTTATTCAGCAGTTGACCCCATGCCTCTGATGCAAGCAGCCCCGACCCCAGGCAGCTGAGTGCTCTGATCTGCAGAAGGCAGCCACCGTTGTTTATGCCATCCATGCCTATAGAAAACAGCAGCAATTGCCAGTGGTAGGAACGGAAAATAAGATGGCATTCTCCAGCTTGGCCCCGCTGTCCTGCACTGGGTGGAAGGCCACCATGGCTGTGGGCATGCCCTGACTCTGCAGAGGGGTTAGGTTCATAGGTGTAGGGTCGGAAGGGACCTGAACAGATCATGAAGTCCGACCCCCCTGCCCTGGGCAGGAATGAATACTGGGCTCATATGACCCCTGGTAAGTTTAAGCTCATATGACCCCAGCTAGGTAATTATCAAGCCTCCTTTTAAAGACCCCTGGGGTTGCGTGGTGTGGGCAGGGGAGCACTCTGTGCACCCAGCCCTGCTTGGCGCCACCTCCCAGGCACACCTGTAAGGGCAGCCACATCCAGCTGGCAGTCATTTGTGCCAAAGCCAGCGCAGCCAGGCCCCGGTCAGGGCTGGGG